GCATCGCTTCTAGTAACAGGTGCCTTACTAGTAGTAACAAGAAGCTATTAGAAACAAGTGCCACGCTAGTAGTAACTAGGTTGCCAGATTGGAAACGTCCTTGGGTTTCGAAGTGGATCAGTTCTGTGAACCAGGTCTCCAGACAAATTGAGGTTGGTCCAAGCCGGTACCCAATGGTACCCACGTTGCATGTGGAGAGCTTAATTGAAGACAAATGCGCAATATGAGCCAATTTCTGTACCCCCAGTGGCCCAAAATTTAGAATTGGAGCAAAATTGTGCAGATGTTCTTCACTCAAATCCGTGGCAATCTGGAAAACGGACGACAACTGCCAACCGAGATGGAAACAAGCATCTCAATGCTTGAAGTTGAACTGCCAATCTTGTAAGAAAAGAATACAACAAAAAAAGAACCATGAGAAAAAGAAGAAATCAAACATCAAAAGCAAAATCTGAATAACTATTGGCACTTACTAGTAGTAACATCAAAAGCAAAATCTGAATCGATTTTGAGGGAAACCTCCATTCCACCCGTTGTCCCTGTCATCCCTTCCCTCAGGTCCGACAGGCCTCGTCCCTCCGTGCCCTGGCCGACCTGGCGACGGCTGTGCCGATGCCGCCGGCGCGGCGGGAGCGCACGCCGGAGAAGGCGGAAGAGTCGCCTGGGTGGATTGGAAGGAGACTTCGATGAGAAGGACTTGGGATAAGCGACAATCCATGCATTCCCTGGCACCACCTCGAATTGTGTTGGATGTTGGTGAAGCGGGGTGCTGAAACGAAGGTGATGCCCGATTCTTCGTGACCGCAGACGTCTCAACAGGGTCGACCAGGAAATGCCGACCTCGCCAGTGATTCAAACGAGGGTCGTTTGCAAAACCAAGTTGACATGAACCGGTGAAAGACCCCTGAAGGTCACGGCATGTCAAGGCTGTGGATTGAAAATAGCCTGGTTGGCCAGTTTGGTGGGGGAGGATGGGGGAGGGTTTGACTCACAACGATGTTAGGGTGGGGGGGGGTTGTATCTTTGGTAAGTCCCTAGCCGACCAGTTGGTGCCGGTTTGACGTGCAGCTTCGCCAACACCAAGCAGGCTCACGTCGGCTGGTTGAATGTTTTCATTTTGGCATGTCTTCTCTAGGCATGTTCAGGTTGAAGAGATGGTTCCGGCTATGCCATGTGGCCGCCACGTCTGGCCGTTGCATGGCGGGCTGCTCTGAGGTACAGGATTTGGTTCACGCCCGGGCAGTACCAGCCCATGTGCCTTGCAGCGAAGGGATGATTCTGCAGATTAGGTAGAATTAGTCAGGGATAGACGGTCAATGATGAAAAGAGAGAACTACCAGGATTGCCTTTGTTTGCAATTGATCATATGGTTATTGTTTGTTTCATCAACATAACATTCACCAGCGAAACGAGAAACCAGCGCGAAGATGGAAAAAAAATGGAATGAAACACCCGTCTACCTTGTCGATCCAAAAACACTCCTGGCTCAGTGTTTTGCTCTACAGTAAGTCTGACAAAAACAGGGAGAAACACTTTGTGGATGGGAACAATAATATATAATATATATATATATATTAAAATAGTATATATATATATATATTAAAGTATATATAAAATATATCGTAATTATACAACCTCGATTCTGGAAGGCGAGAACTTTTGCCTCACCAGAGACCACGTTGGACCGAACTTCGTTCATACTTGCCCTCCGGACGTGTTTCTTCGCAGGGTCCAGAAGCTCCATGGAGCTCCATTTCATTCAAAACCCACGACGTGGATGGATGGATTCATTCATAAATGCAGTCCGCCGCTTGTTGTTGGCGCACTTTACATGGTTGCTATTTTGTTTCATGGAGGATGTTTCCCTGAACAATATCAACAAGAACAGTGCGGCTATGTAGAACGAGCAAAGATCTTCAACTGTTTGTATGCCAAATGATTCGAGCGCGCACAAACCCAAGCCTTTGAGGTGCCCTCCCCTCCACGAAAGTAGGACTTGGTCGCAGACTCGCAGTTTGACCCCGGTGACTTTTGTGCAATCTCAAAATGTCAGACCATCTTCAGCTTCTCGAGAATCTAGTGGCTAGTGAGAAACTCGAGAAGACACCTTAGATGAGTTTTGCCTTCTTTAGTTTTGCTTTCTGATTTTTTTGCATCGCTCTGATTCTCCAATCGCACCATGCTATGAATTCACCACTTTGTTCGGCTCAGGAGCCCCTGGCTCACACGCTCCAATCGCTTCGCACGTCCCGACGCGGCGCTTCTTCAGCGCGCCACAGCGGCGCTGCAGCAGCGGCACCCGGCGCTGCGGGCCACGTGCGAAGGGCCTATGGCGCTGAGAGCCTTCGTGTGGGGAGGTCCCAGAAATGCAAATGGTCCTAGTAGCTTCTTGCTCCTAGTAGCGATGCACTTGTTACTAGTAGCGATGCCCTTGTTCCTAGTAGCTTCTTGCTCCTAGTAGTAAGGCCAGGAGCCCCTAGTAGCTTCTTGTTCCCAGATGTTTTTCTTCTCCAAGGTGGTTGAGATTTGTGGGATTGCTTGGGTGGTGGGAGAATTTGGGAGTGAGATTTGTTGGGATGTGTGAGGTTGGGGTGGAACGTGTTCTACCGCAACCTGATGTGCTGACAGGTTCTGGCGCTGAGTTGCTAAGAGAATGAGAGGATGTCACTTGAGTGGCAACTGTAGTTACTGGGGCTTCGTATGAGGGTTTACGATTCTTGTTCCATTTTCCTGTCTTCTGGTGTTTTGTTGTTTTCCTTGATGCCCCAGTCCTCCCATCATCAATCTGAACAGCCTACGAATCCTCTTGCGCAGTGGCAGATTCCAGCACCTCCATCAATTCCAGCAGACTCCAAAAGTGGCAGGTGACCTGTGAAGTCGGGTGATCAGCTCGCCACCTCGCCGTCTCGAGGCTTACAGTCTCGGTGCTCCTGTGCGCCGCAGACGAGGTGGGCCTCTTTGGTCCACTGGCGCAGCTGCGGAGGGTGTTGGGAAGAGCTTTGTTGTGACCTAGCGGCAAGTGGCAGCTACGAACGGAACAATGTGCTGGCGGCCAGTGGCAGCGCAGAACTACCTCAAGTTAAGGGGCTCTGACCGAAAGTCCTTTTGAAAAAATGTCCTCAAAGTCCTTTTGAAAGAAACGGAGCAGTGCTGCCAAGTCCGGAGGGGCCACCCACCCATCCTGGTCATTCCTCCACATCCACCGAGGCGTGTTTGGCCAAAGGTCAAGGTGCCTTCGGCCAAGTGGCTCGCTTGCACTGTTATCTCGGACAATTCGGGCACGTCCCCGGGCGTGATGACTCTGCGTGAGCAGAGCTGACCACACAGACGAAGGGTCCAACAGAAAGCTTTGTACACGCATCACGGCGGGTAGTTGAGACTGCCCCTACCCGGAGCCGTGGTATTTCTGCAGACTGCGGACCAACATGAAGGCAAGGCATTGGTCAACAATGCCCACCAATCCATCGACATAAAGATCTGACCGTATATGTTACGGACAGAAGAAGCGCAGTCTGGAGTGATTCTCTGGAGACCACGAAGCAAAACCAAAATGTATCGGGTCTGTTGTAGATCTGCTGGAAAGCCACTGACATGATATGTACATGCCAGGGGTGCACAACTAGATTTTAACAAAAAAGGAGCCATTGGATTCTTGGCAGCCAAGTCAAGTTACCAGCAGCAACAAAGATGTCGGTCCCAGTGTCCAAACAAAGTCTCATCTGCAGCCTTCTCCGTTCAAGAATGGTGCGGTCAAGAATGTATGAGGAGCTAAGGAAGAATTCATCTCCGTCCATGTGTCTAACTGCACAGGGCTTGCCAGTCGCAATTCCAATGGAATCACAGCGCTGGTCAGCGGGATGTCTGCCTGAGATCCATCTTCTCTTGGCGGCACTGGCATTGGAGGCAAGTCGCCAATGGATTGTATAGCACACGTGCCAAGCAATTCAATGAAGGCAGTCCATCTCAATAAGCACGCGGCATTTTGCAAATGCCAGGCCTGACAAACCACGGGCGAACCACTGAAGCACCATCGCAAGCACTCTCACATGTGGCTGTTGGCCCTCATCAACAACTAAAGGCGGCATGATCACAAGCTGCCCCTCCAGGCTTTGAGCACGGCCCAGCACCGAACTTGTGTATGTGCTCTTGGTAGAAGCGCCATCCGATCTAGCACAACCATCCACCACGTGCCACTCAAGGCTGCAAAAAGGCCGCAAGGAGCACCAACCAAGTAAAGCTGAACAAAGCAAGACAACTGCATGAGTCATGTGCCCAGTTGTACAGACTGAACCATCAATGAAGGAAGCAAAGGAGACAGTGCCAGAAAATGACTTTCCCGGAAAACATCCACAACGAAGAACATCCATGGCGTTGCAACAGCTCCCGAAGTTCTGCTGACACAGCCGCACTACTGGTAAGACTCGGGCCCACGGCTTCGCTTGCACTGTTAAAAACAACTGAAGCACTGCACTCCTGGTACTCCTGGTTCTTCCTGGGGCCTGTGAAGCAGTGGTGAACAGGTGCACCATGGTGAAACACCGTCAATCCACTGTTTGTTCGTTGAACGGCTTCGTCGAAGAAACCCTGGGCTGCGGCGACCGGGCCTGGCCCATGCTGGGCATCCACGTTTCGGGTTCACCGGATCGTGCTACCGCATCCAGTCCTGTGAGGGGTGAATCTTTGGAGAGTGGCCTTTTGGCCGAAGTCCTTCCTTTGGAATGAATTCTTTCGAAAAAACGAAGTCGCTTGGAAAAGGGATCCGACCTTTCTGCCCTGCTCCACCCATCCACCCCACCCCACATTTAAAGAAAAGAAAACGCGCTCCAAAAACAGACCCGCCAGGACTCCGGAGCAACGACCTGTGGCGACGAACGCTCTCGACGTGGGTTACGCCCCCAGGAGCAAGGCGCTCGACCTCTCCGCGCCCTTCGACGTGGTCGACCTCTACGGAGCCACGGATGGGTCACGAGATGGGCCACGGGTCGATAGGCAACGGGCGGCGAATCGGCGCCGAATGGGATGGTTTCTAATAGCTACTTGCTCCTAGTAGCGATGCCAGGAGCCCCTAGCAGCTTCTTGTTTCTTATAGCTACTTGCTCCTGGTAGTGATGCCAGGAGCCCCTAGCA